CAATTACTAAGCAACCAACCAACTTTCGACCAATCAACGCTTCATAGAACAACACAGTCAGATACCCAAACAATCAACCACACCAAGAACAAACAAGCTCTTATACAGTCTAGTAACCCCAGGCAACTGCACAAATAGACAACCTGCATCAATCCAAAGGGTACACCTACCCAGTCTCCTGACGATGATTAGAGCAGGTTAGCCGAAACGTTGAGACCAAAAACAAGTTCGTTTAGAACTTAAAGCAAGACCGTTCTTATCAGAACTGAAACTACTTAGCGACAGTTTATAATAAGCAAGACAAGTTCTTTTCAGAATTAAATATCTGCTGAGTAGTACTTATTACCACATGATGTACCGCAAACCGAAACGATACTGATACTCCACCATGCAAAGCCTAAAATCGTATAGGGCCTACACTTACCTAGCCACAAATCTAGAACCAATGAAGCCAAGCGTGCGTGGTACCTAAATGTAGCCCGGTCAGATCTTGAGGTACCGCACTACACGTACCTACAACGGTGCTGTGGCTGATAATCGAGTGTCGATCACCGTTCGATCGGTCGTTGAGTAGGGCATCGGTCGGTCGGTCGGTCGGTCGGTGTATTAGTTGTCAAGTCGGTGATCAAGTCCCTGGTGGTTGAGGTCTGTCATGTATTTAGTATCAGTAATATATAGCTAGGGTAGTTAGCAACGTTTTCATGCACGGTTCCAGGACCGTACTGCAGTTTGTATAGTATACATGTCATAATTAATGTTTGCAGACAGCTTTCTACCAACTGAAGATTGTACAGTGGTGAGATGACTGCAAACAACCATTACTTTAGCTTGTTTGCTAGTCTTGTTGCCTTTCCGAGTTACGATCAGCTGCTGTACTTTTCCGCACTTGTTGGCTTCCAGATACCGTGATGTTGGTTGAAAATCTCTCCCTCGTGACGTTGCGTTTGTGAATTCGACATGATATAAACGAGCAGAAAATCGGAAAATTAATTGCCAATTTGTACGCTTTGCTGGTTGTGGATTGCCTATGGTAGATCGGGTCAAGTTACGAGCACGCACGCGTGACTGACGAGATTTATGATACCTCTGCTTCCTCTCCGGCGTCGGAGACACCTTTAAAGGGCCCATGCAATGTAATTTGTGTAAATGCAGTCCTGGAAATGCATCTTTGTATTCTATTTAACCTTATTTTCAAGTTTTGTTTGGCCTTTTCCAAGGGTATTTTGTTGCCTTTTTTTGTGAATTTATTCATGAGCAGAAGTGGGATGCAATTTCACACAGAAAGCTTAATGTTATAGTTATTTCAGCACCAAAAGCTGACAAAATTTTGAATATTTTGCTGCCGTAAATATGAGCACACTTTTGGGTTCACAATTGGAACAGAAAACCCTAAACTGAATAGTGTCTTCCTTAAATGACATCACAGCAACAGCTCCCTCAGTTTTCCGAACTTTAAAACGGTTTTTGTGTTTCAAATTCCTTAAGCTAAAAAGCACAAAAGTGATTTGAATAATTCTTATACTAAAACAAAGCTTATGAATTGGGCTTTCATATGCTAGAGTTTGAAAGTGCTACATGCGGAACTTCACTAAAACAATAGTCCCGCTTTTTTTTTACTCACCCTGTACATGTGCATGTACATGTACATCTTACAGTGAGAGTGACAAACCACCGTTATTTATCGCTTGGCTCGACTCTGGTTGACTTCTGATTGTCTTGTAATGGACTCGTAAGGACCTTTTGTAAGACTTGCTGCCACTTTTAAACCAAGCACCGAACGTGAGATACCAGAGACGAGGGTATTATTAAAAATCATCAATTAACCCTGGAGTGAAATTGTCGTCTGTCTTCTTGTGGATACTGCCAATCTCAGACTCGTGACTTTGATGCATTTGATCCATTAACCGCAGCTGCATGTTTGATGTTGTGCACCGCTGCATATGTCATCCGGGGTAAAGGAACCTTTTGCCAATTATTAAAGCCAGTTCACCAGCCAACAACGCGAACTTGGTGTTCATCATCATTACCAAATGATTCCACTCACTTGGCTCTGCAAAAATCAAGTGGCCGGAGTTGATAAGTTTGGCCTTCGCTGCCCGTAGTCTTCGATCGCGCGGACACGTTCCACGGAATAACTCAAGTACCTCAATTATTCTTCCAATTGCAGCTGAGTACTGGCGAGTGATCTCCTCAAACAAGGACCGATCCGGGTTGATTAAACCCTGCAGGCTTCAACGTATTCCTGACAATTCGATATAATTGGTTGTTAATTATAGGGCAGGTCCGATCTGGTCAATTTAGACGTACTTTTCGATTTCAGGTGAACTAGAGTGGATAAGGAGCAACTCGTGTAGTATATTTATATAGCAGAGGCCGATCCGCCAAGAAGGGTTAGGTTTGGGTTCGTTGGTTTGTGTGTTGATTGGTTGTTTAGTTTGTGTGTTTGTCGGTAAACAGAATAACGCAAAAGTTCTGGACGGATTTTTCTGAATTCTTTTTAAGGATAGATGGTCCTTGGTACAAGTATATTTTGATTAGATTGTGGAAGCGATCGGGATCTGCGTGTGGATGCGGGATGTTTTTTAAACGAATTCACCCATATTCATGTAAAACTTTCACCAGATCGCTATGTGAACAGGTACGTTTGTGTGAGTGGCACTGATCCGGTGACCCTGTATGCATTGCCACCCACCCAATCTTACCACACAGGTCAACGGACTATACCATTTTATACAATGGGGGAGTGGAAAAGTAGACCAACACAGGCACATACAAAATGTTTGAGTTAAAGGATGTTTTAAATGTGCAATAAAATATGGAAGTCCAATGGATATGCAAGGCTGTGTGGGTAATGGGAAGGATTGTTCAGTCCTTGGGCGTAGTACGTTTGCGCACCCTGAGTGCTTTCTAGTTGGATGATGCGGCTGATCCCCAGCACCATTTCTTTCCGTATATTATTATGCCGATGCAAAGACAAAAATGCCATAAAAAATAATGTTTTTAAACTAGCATCTTTTGCATAAACGCAAGGACGTTCATGGCTCCATCAGACTCTATACTGATCTTTATTTTAACGACTTTTTCATGCACATGCAAAAACAAAAAAGCCATAAAAATGATGTTTTTAGATTAGCATCTTTTGCATAAACACAAGGACTTCTAAGGCTCCGTCAAACTCCATATTGATGTCTATCAATACTGATTATATTTTTTTGAGAAGGCATGCATGTACTGTCCTGCAGCACCAGAAATGCGCAACTGGCCAGCATTCAAACACTTTATAAGATTTAAGGCTTTGCATGGTGGAGTATCGCGGTATCGTTTCGGTTTGCGGTAACACCATGTGGTAATAACTTCTGCTCGGAAGATATTTAGTTCTGAAAAGAACTTGTCCTGCTTATTATCAACTTTAGCTAAGTAGTATTGTTTTTGCATTTCATAAGTTGGTAGACTAGCTGGCTTTTGAAAACATTTATCAATGCAAATTTATGTGCATGAGAAGAAAGCAGGAAAAACAAGTCATTAAAAGCATTTTCAGCATTGATTTGTGGACGCAATCACCCTCTCATAGCCACTAGGCCTCCCCGTGTGGCAAAAAGTATGTTTTCCTGTGTCGAGAACGTGTTTGATGTAGTTGGATTGAATGGCAAGAGCCATCGAACGTCGCCTTTTGTTAAACCTACGCGGCTGATAAACTCTCAAACGGAATCTCGTGGCTCTATTGATGTAAGGGAGCTGCCGAATTTAATGGGTGATAGGGCGGATCCCATATTACCATTTGGTTTTGTTTTGGGTCATATTTCCTTGTTTTTGTTTAGTGATCAGGCGCAACCCAATCATCGTTTTGAACTAGTTATAATTGGGTGATCAGGATGACAATGGACCGATCCAGTAAGCACTGCCCCATGGTATTCAGACCAATCACAGCCGTGATTTAGGTCCGACGTGCGTGCACAAAAGTCCGACATGCGTGCACGCGCGTATGATGCGCGCGGCAGGAAAATGCAGTGTGGCAATGGAGAGGAGCACGTATTAATTTGCCCATTGCGCAGTGGGCGGGGCTTACTGGATCGGTCCATTCTCCGCAGCTTTACTTTAAACGACGCATGGACTTTAAACTTGGTGTGAATGTCAACCCTGATCCACAGATGTACACATAAGACAGTGTCCTCTAAGATCAAAAATTTGAATTTTTTTTGTGAATTCATCATATTACATTATATTAAATTACAAGCAAACTAAGGGCCAAACTTGGCACATAACTTTCATCTAATACTTTTGAATTGAGTGAAGGAAGACCATTTTTTAAACTAAGTCACACGAAACATTCAATACTAGTATTCTAGTCCATTTGCATTGTGCCTCACCAGTTTTCCTCTCATATCTTTACGCAGAAAATTAACATTGTGTACGGTTTATATTCACGAATAATTATATCTTTAGCTCAGAGGAGATTATTATTATCCCCATGCAAAGACAAAAAGCCATTAAAAAAATACATATTTAGATAAGCATATGCTGCATAAACTCCAAGGTCGTAAGAGGCTCCGTCAAACTCCGTATTGAAGCCTATTAATTGATGCCGATTATATTTGTTGAGTAGCCATACCAGCAGAATTAGAAGTGCGATTCAACATTTGCAAACCTCTAGTTTCCTTTGGCTTTAAGCAGTCCATATAAGGGCGAGTCGAAAAGACCCCCTTGCGTCTGACGTCACAGCTGTGAGTGCATCTCTTCCGTCTTCTATGACACGTTTGTGCATTGTCACTGCATTTAATAACACAAGCTGCCCTCGGTGGTGGCGTGCCGTGCAAGGGGTCTATTTACCCTGCCGCATACTTGCCATTGCAAAGTTTGTAAAAGAAAGTACATCTCTGAATTGGTCGGTAAACAACCAATTACCTTTCTGCCTAGATCACCTTGAGAATCAAGCTTGTATACTTTACCATCAACTTGAAATCAAGTATAGTTCTGTTATTCTTTTTTGCTTTGTGTGTCAGGTGTTTTGTGTACTTCTAAGTCGTCGGAGACATCCCATGGTCAGAGATAATTGTGACAGAGCCATCAGATTGTGTTTTCTCCACTGTACTAGAATGTGAGTATTGAACGCACGGTATGTAATAACCTTCAGGTCACCGAATATTGTCACTCTGCATCTTTTCTTGATTGCAAGAAAACAGGGGATCATCTGAAGAGGAATAGCGTGCGGAAGAGGCATAGCGTGCGGTACCAAGCTCGTAAAATCCGCCGTGATCTCACTCAATTTGCCCACTCCTGCTCCGTCATGAGAATTTAATGAAATAAGATTTTTGTGTGGGCGGCTGCCAGGTTTTTCTTTTTGCACAATCGACTTTAATTCCTCTGTCATTCAGAAACTGATTAGGCTTGGACAACTTGACGCTTGTACCTGCCCGAACCGGAACGTTGAGCACACGTGGGAACGGGGGACCAAGGATATCGAAATATTTTTGGTAAAAACCTGTCAGTTTAGGCGAAAAGTGCGTCCACTCTGCAGGGAAATCTTGGCAAATGTGAGACTTTCAGCCTTAGTTGTAATTGGGGCCGCCGGTTCAGATATAGGGACAATTTTATCAGCGCAGGGCTCCTGAGATTAGATCAATCTGATAAAGGAGCACGTCGGAAGAGCAAGGTAAGCTGCTGTATCCCTGTACCGATATTTTATTTCTTTTGCCCGAGAGAACTTACTTGGGTCATGACTCTGCGTGCTTTTGTCATTATGTGAAATTTATTCTCCGAGAAAGGTCTACTGTTGAGAGGCACCGGCGGATCCAGAAAGTCTCTTTTTCGAGGGGTGAACATTAGGTGGCCGATCCTGACCGACGGACCGGCCGTTGAAAATTCGCAGCGGGACTCTTTCTCCTTTTTTCCCTTTTTTTTGTTTTTTTCTTTTTTAAAAACTGTTTCTGGAATTCGTACTTGGAAAAGTACGAAAAGGCCCCCTTGAGCCACCAGTGTTTAGAGGCATGAATGATGTGCATTTATATGGTTTAGTTAATATTGACGCTTATTGGCCTACCAATTGTCTTCAAGATCTTGTGTTCTACGAACCCCTAGCTGTAAAACAATGGCCAAAATGAGTGTTCACACCACCTTCTCGTGTGTTTCTTTTACTCTGTAAATTCCAACGAGTGAAAATATAGGGACTAGACGATTTAGAGTGAAATTTACTCTAATTTTCGACTGAAACACTCTGAAGAAAGAAAATCGATCCGGTGGAAACTCGAGCGAAAACTCGAAAAGTCAATCCAATAGAGTGAATTTTCACTCTTTGGAAATAAAGGAGTATAGTTTACGACACGATTTGGTTTATTCGTAATTTGTGCATACCAATAATGCTTATTGACCAAAGTTTGAGATGAGAATCTCTGGTGGTTTAGGCATATCATAGAGCACCCATACTGAATGTGTATCCTTGTGGAGACATTTCTTTGTTCTCGGGTACTACAGTTTTCGAGTTTGAAAGTGTACTTTCAATATGCTTCTATTTTAACCAGAATCAATTTCCTGGGCTTCAATTTCCGACTTAATTACTTCAATTTGCGACGGTTCAACACACCTTTGAACTCCCTAGTGTTTGAGTAAAATCCATATATCTAAGCCATATAACCTTGTGGAGACGTATTCACCTATAGAAATTGCTCTGTGGAGACATATACAATATTTTGTTCCCTATTGTGCACATGTCTCCACATGGTACCGTGTACCAGATCAAAAAAGGTTCCTTTTTATCGCTCAACAGCGATCTGTGTAGAGTTCACGGGAATTAGGCCAATCGATAAACGCGCTGGCCTAAAAGGACGAATTGTGAAGCTGATTGAGATCAAAATACCAGTGAAATGCCAAACAAAATACCGATGCTTTTAGCAGGCATGCATTGCACACCCGCGTAATATTTGCAGCGCTACAATTTTATTTTGGTCGCCCGTGAATGCCTTTTTCAGTCCGCTTTTGTGTTCGTTTGGGTTTATTTAGGCAATAGACCACGAGGCATCCGTACAACACGGACTGGGAAATGGAGCATTCATAAGAAGACAGTTTCAGGGACGAACGAGAGTGCTCTGGTCTTCCTTGAAAGGTCTTTTTATTACTCAAATGCATGCAGGCAAGAGGAAATTAGCTTCGTGTACAAAGATGGTTCGGCTTATTAAATAACTGTTTGTTTGTGTTGTGTCCATAGCAAATGTAGGGCTATTTTAAACTGTATAGTCATACGCCCCATGAAAGGGTAAGTGAAATGAATTATTATCAACGTAACCACATTTCCCCTGTCTATCTTGCGTACCATCTTCCTGCAAAAACTTAACGTTACGGACCTTTTTAGTAGTGTTTTTGATTGATTTGCTTCGGTTTGTTGTGGTTAAAATGGTTTTGTTTATTTCTTAGTGATATGCATGTTGACAGAGTCGGTCAATTTCAATTCATGTAAAATGTTTCATGCTTTTCCTGACAACTGAGGGCACTTTTTCTGTGATGTCATTTTTGGAACACACTCTTCTAATCATGGGGTTTCTTTTTAGATTGCAAACTCAAAATCCTCCTTACTTTTATGCATAACGTTTATTTTTCATTGCCATACTATCGCATACTGAATTATGAAGCAACAACTGAAAGCATAAACATAACCACATCAACCTCTAATATTCTGGTAATTTGTGAAGTTTTGAAATTGAAGCTTTCGCCTTGAATAACATTACAGTTTTGCTCATGAATATGGAAATTTGCATTAACATAAACAGGCATCAGAGCACCCTTAAAAGGCAATGTGAAGATTACAAATAAACACAAGGGTACATTTCAAGGATTGCATTAAAAAAATCCATTCTTTTAAACAATGCCTACAAATCCCAAAAAAAACGAGAAAAAAAAAGACTGAAAACGGGCAAATGGAAAGGCGGCTCCAAACAAGGATGTATAGGAAAGCAACGTTATTTGCTTGCTTGGAATCAAACATTTTTTGGTATTTTGTTTTCAATATGTCATTGAAGCGAAAGCAACGTTGTTATTACGTGAATAAATATGCTTGATCGGTTTTAAACAAGTACGTTTAAAACCGGCTGGAGGCCTAGACGCAGATATTGGCACGAGCCGAAGGCGAGTGTCATTATCGACCAGGCCCATAACCGAGGTTCTAAACGTACTAATTAAAAACCGGCCAAGCACAAATTGTATTCCCATTCACAAATACCTCTCGGTCAAAAAGTCAAAACAAGTCAAACATTCACAAATTTCCTAAGATTTTGAGCAACAATTTTACTTCGTGTTTTGTGAAACACCCATCTGGCCACGTCTATGGTATGTGCCTCGCGCTCGTACTACTAAAAATCGCCTTATAAGGAAATTGGCGCTTGCGCGGTGCGTACCGCGCGATGTGGCGCAGGACGCAGCGGGATTTTACCGGCGGTTGAAAACCACCCGCGTGACGTGCTCTCGATCAATATCAATTGGTAAACTGTCTCAGGTATTTATGAACTAACATATAAATCATAGCTGCTGCCAAAATATACATCTAAAGATATAAATACATGGTTTGTTCTTACACAAAAGTTTAAGCGTCGGGATCGCAGAGACAGTAGTCAACCCTGCTGGGTCAATTAGGACTATTTCCTGTCAAATCAAAGTAGTTCAAACGAGCAACCAAAATTCTTTACACCATTTCGACAAAAGCGAGCCAGTCTTCTTCGTTTTCGGAGACGCAAATACCTTTAATAAAGGTAGTCAATGGAAAACCGCTACGGCACTTTTACCTGTTAGTTTATACAGTCACATATCTTTTTAAGAATATTGGTAACAAACACACACAAAGCTTGCACAAAGTGAAGATAGAATGGTACCAAAAAAAACTGTGAAATTATTCCTCCTGAAATACAATCATGGAATCATGGAAGGTGGTTTTAAAAAGTGTGCCATCGGGCACATTATTATGTGTGTTAACAACGGAATCCAGTTTACGACTTATGAAACCCCCAAAAATTCTGCCTATGTTTTCTATGTTTGCTCTATGAAACCCCCAAAAATTCTGCATATGTTTTCTATGTTTGCTCTATGACTTGGAGCAACCTTGCTCCAAGCGAAAAACATGCACAAAAAGCACAAACATACAGGGGAAAAAAGCTTCTATATGGCCTTTAAAGTCGCTGATGTAAGTAGAGTTTACGAAAAGCCTATTTCCCGTGTTTCTTTTAGGTTAATTTTGTGCTTTCTTTCGACATTGACGAGGGCAGGACGGAACGGAAAAGCATCAACGCACTTTTGTAACGACGTCATTCTCCATAAGGTAATGGCTTAAATCGGCTTTGTGACGAAGGACGGTTTCCCATTTTGAGTTATTTTTGTACGGCTGCTTCCGTCCAAAAACAATTTTCCCGATTTCTCTCGGGGATTTGAGAGCAGGAAAAGGCCTGCCGAAAACAAGGACGGAAGCAGGCTCGGTCTACCGTGGTAAAGCCGAACAAATAAAATCAATTTAAATTTAAAAAAAAAATGAAGAGAATAGAAAGTAGCCATTTTCTTCAAAACAAAAGGTTGTCCACACAAAAACAGTTCAACAAAAAAATTGGATGTGTGTTGTTTACTAGAAAAAAATAACTCTTTTTGCTAACTAAGCAGGCGCAGGTTGGCAAGAGTGATAAGTTTGCAATTTCTTCGGCCAGATTTACCAAATTAATAAAACAAAAGCGAACGTGTTGACTGTTACAATGTCGCATCAATTTAATCAATGTGACCGGAAGAAAGCAACAACTATCTCAACAAACTATCGACCAATACAATAAATGGCCTCGAATATAACGAAGCATTTAGCGAACATGCCAAACGTCCTCAATGTTGCATCCTTTTAATCAATGTGAGCTCCGTTTGAAGAAAAACAAAACACTCACCAAACATGTTGACAAGAAAATGCCAGCAGCATATTTTATTAAGAAAATGAGATTTTTGATTCGGGCCCAACCAGCTTTCACAAACTAATTCCATTAAGACTCTTCAGATGATAATCATTTTGTTGATTTCAGACAGAAAAAAGCATGCCAGGCCCCGCGCGTACTTTGTTGACGTGGGCAAAACCTTGGAGAAACGAGC